TTGGAAAGAATATCCATCGCATCGAAGTGCCCGTGTCTGATAGGCATGCTTTCTACTTCAGAACCTGTCATTATAGTTCAGTGAACCTGTAAAATGTGTTTTATAAGTTAGGTGCGTAGTTTTATGACAAATTGAAGCCGTAGATAATTTTCGCTAAAAATGGTTTGGCAGAGGTTTGAAACATTTATATTTTTAAGAATACTGTTGCTTGTCATGCAAACGTGATGATTGGATCTTGGAGAGAATTGAATGCTCTTTCCAATGATAGTATTTTCAATTGTCAAACGTATTAGGTTAAGCAGCAAAATCCGTGTAATTATTTATTACCACATTATGGACAAATGCCATTTTCTTTAGCGATTTATTCCACCTTATTTTGATCAATTAGCTTTGCACAATTTTTCCATGAGAGGCGGTACATTTTTATTGCTAATAGGCGCTGTTTCAACTCGCTCCGTCTGACGGTCACCTGAAATTAATATGAATTCCAAAATCCGTCCAAAACGTCCATCTTTCAAAAGAAAGTGCCCTCCCCGGTGCACGTGGCGCGTGCCAACCCCTGCACCGCACACCATTCGATAGCCCGTTCGATTCTCTACACGATGCTGTTTTCCCCGTGCGGGTCTGGCCCACGGTTACCGAGATATTGCATAGTGGTGTCAATCGGTTACCGAAAATTTCGGTTACCGAAAAGATATGCTGACCGTTTCGGTAATCGGTCGGTCAGGCCCCCCAAAATTCGGACACTTTCGGTCACCCTGCCATTGAAGCCATTTTCAAAAAGAGAAAGCATTCCATTTTTGCCTAGTTAAAATGAGATTTATTGGGATGTTAATGACAAAGAGTTGCAAAATTTCCCCCAAAGGCTACAAGAGATGCCACATTTTGGCAACTTCAGTAGCCATCCCACCCAGCAGGCAGCAGCCACCCATTGTCCAACCACAACTACAAGCAGGCTGATTTTGACTCAGTTGGGCCCACAAGTACACACAACAATTTTGAAACTCTATTCCAGTCTAACTGTTAAAATGTCACCTGTATCAAAGAAGTATTGCCTACAAAAATCATTATACAGCCATCAAAAATGCAAGGAAAAAAGAACTTGAATTACTGAAATGTGTTTCTGAAGACTGGACAGTTAGCACTTAGCACTTAGCAGTGATCACATTTACATTTCACAGGTGTTCTACTATTACACATTCTCCTTTAATGAAATGCTGAGGTCCATGTGTTCCTACCCTTAGCAATGTAACTTCTACCACAAAATGTAATTTGTAGTGACTAAGAATTGACTGAACTTGGACTGAAATGCCATTTCCCATTATTTTCCATCATAATTTACCAAATATTATAATTTTGGGGTAGAGTAATAGCAAATAGAATTTCGGTCAAATTTCGGTCAAATTTTGGCTTGGGATGTTATCGGTCGGTATTCGGTCGGAAATTTTTCCCAAATTTTGGTTTCGGTCGGTATCGGTCAGACATTTTTTGGAAAATGACACCACTAATATTGCACCGGGACCGGACCCGTGTCGGGCAAATTTGGCTGTTTTCGCCCGATTTCGCACGCCGATTTATACATGTAAAGTCTATGCCGCGAATTTGCACTTTATTTATCGTTCGAGGGCGGATACAGTTTTAACCCGCGCACCGAAGGGGGTCTGCGCCAACTTCGTACAGACGGGGTGCGGGCGGATGACCGCCCCCCCCCCCTGAGATCTCGAGAACGAAGCAAGATAGCGACAGGCGGTAAACGGCATCGGATACGCACGGACAAGGTCTACAATTTTTACTAAGGTCATTTTCAGGTCAGGTCAAAGATGACGTCACAGGGGTCAAAAAAGTCAAAATGGCGGCGCTATATATGGAGAGAGTTTTTTCTCGAATAACTTTCGAACTAGTCAAGATAGGAACAAACTAAGGGCACCATCGTGATCCTCTCGTCAATCCGCATCGAATGATATATGTTGACCTCGAAAGGTCAAGGTCAAAGGTTGACCTCAGGTAACGTGACCTCGAGGTCATCATGTATATCATTCGATGCGTCTTGACAAGCTGAACACAATGAGACCATCCGCGCGGCTGTATCTTGTTCCTGTACGGAGTTATTGGCAAAAAACCGCTGGTGACCTTTGATGACGTCACATGACCTTACAGCTGCCCAACAGCAAAACAGACCTCAAGGTAGTGAAGGTTGATCGTATATGAAGTCATGTATGGTATATGGTGCCATTCCGACCCGTTTTAGTGGTAAAAACAGGGAGTTGATTTTTCCCCCATTGACATAATGGGGAGGTCGAGAAATTGACCTGACCTTAGGTCACCGATATCAAAATTCCGAGATAAACAAATTGTAGATACTAATGACCTCATAACATCCTGCGACTTTCAAAGGCCTCCGACATCTACTGTAGCTCTGGCACGGTGACAAAGTTGCAAAAAAGTGACTTGAGGTTGGGTTATTCAAAGTGACCTGGTGACCTGACCTTAAAAGTTAGGAGGTTCAAACTTGCACACCATGTGTAAAATTGATGAGCAAATAGTCTTACCAAATTTCGCGGCGCTACGCGCCGCGGTTTTCCCGCTATTCGCGAAAAACCTCAGGGGGGCGGATATCCGCCCCCCCCGTCGGTGCGCGTGTTAACAATACAAAAAAATATTTTTGCACAGCTCTATTCCTTGAATAATTCTCTTCAACGCCTCATTCCTAGTTAAGCGAATTAGCCCACCCTGGTTGAATAAATAAGGCGATCTCGCCACAAGGTCGGGGAAAACCGACCGAAAACGGCCGCGCTCAACGTTAATTTGGGCATGCAGACTCTTAAAATCTCGCATTGGGCGGGTAGGGTTTCCCAGGTATTGGCTCCAAAACACCGTATTCGGCTCCCAAATACGTCCAAGTGACCCGCCTCGTTCCTAGTTAAGCTCTAATTAGATCAAGTGACTCATAGGGAGCGAAAAAGCGACAAAAAGCATGAATTTCCCTATGGCGGCGGGCTGCCGGGTTGCCAGACGGCGCACCGGCTATTTCCACTTTTGACACACCATGTGAGCTACCTGGTACATATACCCAACAGTTTAGACGGAATTGTCCTAGCTAGATGAATACCTGCACTCTGCAGTAGGTATAGCTATTTGCGGCGGGCCGAGTGCCAAAGGAAATCCAGGACGGGGATTGGGACTTCGGCGTTTTTTTTTGGGGGGGGGGGGGGTTAATTCGTTTCCTGAAAGATGCTGCCCCGACGTCACCGCACAGGCAAAGCCCCGAGAGACGGACACGCGAGTCCCAGGTGCCGGCCAGCCGCCGCATTTCACTCGGCGGGCACGCCCAGGCATGCCTTCCCCGTCGGAGGCAACCATACGGTAGACAAGCCTTTCCCCTTCCAGGCGGTGGGGGGGGCATTTTTTGCCCCCCCTTTAGTTTTTTCAATATATCTCAAGAACCGCTGCGCCGATCGTCACCAAACTTTCAGTACCCACCCGGGAGCAGCTAGCGCACATGGTGACCAAAAATTTTCCCAAAGGCTATGATAGGTTGGCCGCTAATGACGTCAGAGTGACGTCATTTTTGCCATTTTCGACCCAAAAAAAGGTTTTGCGGGAAGAGCTGTCAGGCCTACAGCTTTAGAGATACAGAAAAATGTTTCACACATAAAAGGTGTGGAATCAAAAGGGCTACAAAACTGCTATTTCGGTTTTTCGATGTTTTTGGATTTTGACCCCCAAAAATCAAAAAATAGATTTTTTGATTATAATAGCCAAAAAATCCGAAAAGTTTTTTGAATTTCGAAAAAAAACAGAATATATGTGATAGTCCCTACCGCCTTCTATCTTCATGCTAAATGTGAGATCGATACCTCTTTTTTTGACCAAGTTATAGCGAAAAAAATGTTCAAAATTGATGACGTCAAATTTTCAAACTCAATTTTTAGCAATTCTAGACCTCGTAGCGCAAAACAAAGACCACCATTAGACTCCCCGTGACGAGCTGCATCGAATCGATACCCATTTTATGCAAAAATATCAACTTTGAAATTTGACCTTTTTTGACCTGACCTCGACCTGACCTCCACCAGAAAGTGACCTTAACCGTACCTGATGGTCTTATAACCAACACCATTGAGTTGGAAATGAAAAACTGGCCATAAAACATGCATCGCATAACCTTAGTAGTTGGGCTCATGTGGTGACCCTTGGTGACCTTTGGTGACCTGACCTGTGACCTGACCTGGTATGACCGGTGACCTCTCATAGCAACATATGTACTAGACAACTGACGCCTCATCGCTGATTTTCGACAAAATGCGTTTTACTCGGTGTTATAGCGCTTTCCCTAGAAGCCCCGTGAACGATGAAACATTTTATCTTTGACCTGACTTGTGACGTCATCGGTGACCCCGAGGTAAATGAAATTTGGTTTCCTTCGACAAATTTGACAGGGCTATCGAACGCCGTTTGAATTTTCCGGATCCGTCCAGTAGTTTCGGAGATACGGGGGGAGGGGGCAAAAAAATGCCCCCCCCCCCCACCGCGCGGAAGGTGGCTGGTAGGCCCACCGCCTGCCGGGTTAACGCACTCTTGCTGTTTCCCGGCCCGCTGCTCCACACACACACGCAAGTCACACACAAACGTCGCGATTGATTTTGTCCCTTACAAGGAATCGGTATTGTGCGTCTGTCCATGAAGCTATTTCAATTTCTTTTCGAGCAGAAAATAGTAAATGTGCTTCAGGGAGTAAAGTCATCTTGCTTCAGGGGCCCAGGAACCCCTAGGATCCCTCCTCAGGTGCGTCGCTGATCCATTCCTTGCTGCCACACAGTCACCATGCCTTGCCTTGTTGCCACACCTCTAGTTGCAATTTTTGACGGGGACTAAAAAATTAGTATACCATGGCCTTGATTGTGCGATATGTAAATATAGAGAACCTTGATTCTGCGACGTGTTGTTGTTGCGCTTCAATGTATGTGTGTGTGTTGTGATGAAAGGAGGCGTTTTTTTGTTATTATTTGTGCTCGTATATCCGTCGATCCTATGTTATAATTGTTTGTTGCAGTTTGTTCTATTTTTATTTTACATGGGGAATGTCCAGATGTTGATGTATGCTGGTAGAGTGTCATTGTAGCTCAAGCTGGCAAAGGCTCTAGGAACGATTGGACGTAAAAAATAGATGTTAGTACCTACCTACCTACCTACCTACCTACATACCTAACGAAATTGTAAGTAAAATCAAAGACTTGTATTTAACATGAAAATTGAGCTTGACCTACATATGAGACTGTGTCAATAGGTGGCGTGTATGTTGTACAATTATTTGCTCTACCGGTCATGACTCAGAGCGATTTGTTCTGCCCCAGGGCGCCGCACGCGCCCCTCACTTTCCCAAATCCCAGAGGAGATGGCTGTGCGGCGTGCACGCTCTGGTTGATGGCTACCGCCAGTCGGCTGGCCTGCGCTGCATTGCGTACGAGCTGGAAGCTCTATTACAGATTACTGCACCACATGTTATAGAGGTTGCCCTGATCTGTTGGGCTGGAAAATCGGCACGGAGCAGTTTTACTATATCTCTGAGTGTATTTTACCATAAATAATGTGATTAAAAAGTGCCAGGTGCAATATCCTCATATCTTTCTAGTTGAGGTTTATTTGCCATTGGGTCTACAGTGCAGGGATATTTCTATCTCGCACTCCTCTGAGATGCAAAGCAAAGATAAGAATTTGTTATCTCTGCATCTCTCTGAGATGCAAAGATAAGGTCTCTAGGGTTCATAGCCAAAAATCAAGAGTTCAACTGATGATGGGTCAATAACTGAATGGCATTTTTAATGGCTGTTTATGTATGAAACTTATGAAATAAAAACAAACTACTCTAAATCTTTTTTACATAGATGAATACATTTAAATATAATATTTAATTAATTAAGAATAAACCTCAACATAGAAAGATATAGGATTCCTCATGGCTCACTCGTGGAAGATTGGATATCTTTTCCTCACGTGTTACAGAAAAACCTCACTCCTTCGTCGCTCGGTTTTTCAGTAACCCGCTTGGAAAAGATATCCTTATCTTCCAGTCAGAGCCATGAATAATCCTCTATGTCTCACACATGCTGAGCTGACCTAGCCTAGGACAAACATGGCCTGTTCCAGTGCCTCCAGAAACCTCCAGAAAGCTTTAGAAAGCTCTAGAATTCTCCAGAGGGCTTTCCAGCACCTCCAGAAAGCTCTTGTCAAAGCTCCAGAAACCTCCAGTAGCCTCCAGATGTAAGGTCTTTCTCTGTTGGTTTACTGGAGGCTCTGGTCTACAATTATGGTGCACATGTGACAAATATGAATGTAATCAAAGGATGTTTGACCATTAATTTTACAAATTGAATGTGCAGAAAGTTATTTATTATAAAGTTATTTTAATTTAAATGAACTGCTTAATCTTTCTTACTAAAATTAAACAAATTTTGTTTTTCAAGAATGAACCATCATCATTCCTTGGGTATCCCTGACACTAACCTCCAGAAATCTCCAAATGGCATTCCTGCGCCTCCAGTAAAACTTCTGGTAGAGCCTCCAGTCAAGAATTTCTACTGGAGGTGCTGGAACAGGCCCATGTTGTGGGTAGTCGTAAAGGGACCTAGCCTTACCTACTCACCTACAAACTATTTACTTTAAACCTACAAACCTACAACCTACAAACCCACTAACATACAACCTAAAACCTACAAACCCACTGATATTCTGTTTTTTTTTTTTTAGAATGTCATTTTCTTTTTCAGGTAACTAGGCACTGAGTTGTAGACTCAAATTTGTGTATTGTTGTGTAGCTGATTATGTTCATCTGCAGACTTTTCATTACAATTTGAATTACAGTAGGTAATTACTTTTCATTCCAGTTTGCTCATGTGCTATGGAGAGCACCAATTCATTCAAGTGTTCTTGTTTGAAATAGATGCTAGACTCATAGACTGCTAGTCCCTCAGATAGATGTGTTTACAAAGTATTCCAGTTTTACATAATAAAAGGAATAGCCAAACATATCCATTAAGTTAGAATTATATAATGCCTCCATATTTTGTATATTTAATGAAATGGCTCCAAATATCTTATTAGGCTATAGTACCCTGACTCAATACTGCTTTGTTTTCAGTGAGTGATTCTTGGTGAATCCACTTGCTTTTCATTCCTTGAAAATGCTTCAGATTTCTAAATGAAGCCAGCTTTTTCTTATGATTTTCAGAACAAAATTATTGTCACTTCAAATTGATTAAGTTATAGGCTCTGAAGCTACTTGTGTCTGGAAGCATGCTGAGATTTCTGAAGGACTCTAAGGCTGCTGTGGTAAGTGCCTTTGGGGTGTTTTAGTTAGGTTAGGTGCCTATTTGTTTATATGATTTATCATTTTGTGGCCCTGCTGTGTCCAGCTGTGGGTAATGTTTGGGAGAAAGATCAGGATAGTTATAACTCCTTAATTTTCTCTGAAACTGTGGAATAAGTTTGTTTCATGAAAAATCTTTCTATTTTTATTTACAAATTTAAAATGTTTTTCCTTTAAGATTTATATTGCAAACTCAGCAACTTGTTCAGTGACAGTGACGTCTTGTTGCAGTACCTACATTCACTAATGTATGCAATGCATCATTCAACAAGGTGTGTGTCTTCAGTGATGTCAGATCTGGGCGTTCAGTGACATGCCTTTGCCGTTTGCAGAGCCGGCAGTTTGCCGGCGGCGGCCGCGTCCATGCCGTGTTTGGTAATGAGTCCTGCGACCTGGACTCGGCGGCGGCGTCTCTCACCTACGCCTACCTGCTGAGCTCGATGGACCGGGAGACACTGTTTGTGCCCGTCCTCAACATACCGGAACAGGAGTACCCACTGAAGACGGAGGTGACCTTCTTCCTGCACAAGCTCGGCATCGGCAAGGAGCACTTGGTGTTCAGGTGAGTTGTTCTCAGAAGGTGGACGATATATTCTGCTTTATTTTATCTTTCTTACGTCGATACGACCGTTTTATTCCACCTTTCGTACATCGATACCACCATGTGTTTGCTCAGTCAATGATGAGTTCGGTATCCATCCGCCTGCGTCTAGCGCCTGACCGCCGTGTGTGCCTGGGACAGGCCCGAGTTGGACCTGGCCGCGCTGCACCGGGCCGGCCGTCTCCTCATCACGCTGGTGGACCGGCACCGTCTGGACGGTCCGGACGCGCCGCTGCAGCCGTGTGTGGTGCACGTGCTGGACCACCACCAGCCCGACCGGCCGCTCTCCGGTTAGTGGCGACTCGGAACGGATATATATCGTACTGAGGGCTTGGGGAGAACTCACCCGTCTAAGGTCAGTTCTGGCGTTTATCAATCAGGACGCCAAAATAGTAGGGTAAGGGCGGGTAAGAGTACGCGGGCGATAAGAGTACGCATCAGCTGTTTCGGTTGCTTAGCAACGCGGGTTTGTCGAGTTCATGAAGTGACATGAAGCCGCCAGTGCGTGCTTGTCACCAACGGAACGTGGGCGTTGAGCGGCGACGCTGTTGAGTTTAAGGCGATAAATATTATTTTCGAGCGTTATGATATTATTATGGTATTGTACAATAATTTTGATACTTGGCAGTTGAGATAAGGTACATTTCCGTGATTGTTGAGGGAAACTTGTGAGGTTATCTGGGGAAATACTGTGCAGTGCAATATTCTGTTTGCGAAGTTTTGCACAACGTTTCGGGGTTGTTTTGTGCGCGAATTGCATGTACGGTAAGAGGACGCACTGTTCAGGAGGGTAAGAGTACGCAGAATTATACATTAAATCGAATATACAGAAATATAAAATTATTAATCTATCGCTCAATGACGTTTGTTTTTTAGGTATATCATCAATGGAGCACTGTGATGCAGATGAGTACCCGAAATTCTTCCAAATACGAGTTATTCTCCCTTTTGATTGTACATTTTTTCTAAGAAACACACGACATGATTATTTCCTGATTTATAGACTTGAAAGATGTATTTTAGGTTTTTCTTTGTGGATACTAGAATTAACTTAAATGCCTTCTGAGTTTGAAGTTAAGCATTTGGACAGTACAAGCTGCATAGGTGTGTGTTCATATGCTTGCGTACTCCACCCACCTGGCGTGCGTACTCTTACACACCCCATATGGTAAGAGTACGCAACTGCAGCGGTTCAGAAAATGTCAGTTTTAGACCACTTCCATTTACGCTGAAGGATCGTTGCCCCATGGGTTGATAGCTAATTCAATGAACTTTAATATTCCCTATTTGCGATTTCTTTCTTTCAAATATTAAACAAATGAGAGCAAGAAATCCACTAAGTGCGTACTCTTATACGACTTCACCCTACAGTAATGGAAACTGACTGTTATGTTAGTCTAAGGTTTAACTTTCGTTTTAAGTCTGATGCCAGCTATTCGTCCAGTCAATCCTTTGTTGTCGAAACGTTTCGAACTTGGCCGTCGAACTCGCACGCTGACGTCAGTGTCACGCTACCTACTCGGTCTCGTGTCGGATTTACTGAACTGGAACGTGGCGCTCTCCTGTGGCGTGGTACCGCAGCTGAACTGTGTCCGTCTCCGCCAGATGACGTGGTGATCGAACCGGTCGGCTCGTGCTGTACCCTGGTGGCCGAGCGACTGTTCCAGCTGAATCGGAGTCTGATCGACCGAACGGTGGCCGACCTGCTGCTCGGTACGTCTCCAGACTGGAATGTGCCGAGGCTGGCCGGCCTCACATAACGAAATCTAATCTCAATAGGTTTATGCTTTTTACCTCCGGAATCATAGTAGCTTCCGTCGCGGTTTTTGCAGCTTTTCAGTTGTCCCCGGGTGGCACTAGCGAGCATGCTTGGACAGCTATGGCATGCATGACCCTACATCTGATTGGTGCCGACCGTCGCTGACACTTATTGTGCCTGGTAGGAGGGGATGGTAGCTGACGGAATGAAAGAGAATAGAGACCAATACTCAATGGTTGGCGTTCAATACACATTTCATTTCCCTAATAGGAAAAGCAATAGGTGAACATTTGTCAATATTGCTACATTTGATGCATTAGGAGCAAAGTTATATAATTGCTTTACAAATAGCCTATGCCTTTGTATACAATGTGCAGCTGTGATGTCTACTCACATACAGACTGCAGTCCATGTGCATAGCTTGTTTCCCAATAGCTTGACATTTGACGCACTGACATAAGGCATTTTACCTCGCGAAGCAGCCAAGACGCTCGACCCGGAGCTGGGTGTTCTTCATTCAAACTGTTTGCCTGTCTGAACCTACAAGCTGAAGATTCAGGAACGGCTGAAACAATTTTGTCGCAGTAGTCATGATAGGCATTTATGCGCTACATACTAATTAATTGATCATTTTATCTCGTTGCGCTCATTTAATAGACACATAATCGCCATGAAACCGAGTACCAAACTTCTTGTCTGCTTGTGGTGTCCACCGCGACCGCTCCGCTGTCGCTGGCGCCCCTTGTGTGACTGTCCCGCTGTGTGACTGTCCCGCTGTGCCCCGCTGCCGCTGTGTGACTCCCCCGCTGTGCCCCGCTGCCGCTGTGTGACTTCCTCAGAACCCGCTGTTAGACTCCCCCGCCGTGTGACTCCCCGCTGTGTACCGCTGCCGCTGTATGACTCCCCCACTGCCGCTGTCTGACTCCCGTCTCCCACCCCGCTCCGCTGACAGGCACCATAGTGTTGGACACGGTCAACATGTCTGCGGCGGCGCAGCGCGGTACGCCCAAGGACCGACTGATGATCTCCTTTCTGGAACCGCTCTCCTCAGGTGAGCGGCCTCTGCCACACTGCGGACTTCACCCGGACACCGCTCCGACACTGGTGACACTACTGTGACACTGGTGACACGGATTTGACACCGCTCAGACACTGCTGACATTGCTCTGACACTGCTGACATTGCTCTGACACTGCTGGCGCGGCTTTGACACTGCGGATACCACCCTGACATCACCCCGACACTGCTGACGCGGCTTTGACACCGCTGCTGCACTTCTGACACATCGATTGCAGGCGACTGCTGCAAATATGCGGAACGCTCTGATCAGCCGTGGCCAGCGTTGGTCCCAGTCACGCATGTAACCGTATTATAGTGGTTGTCCGCAATTACAGGGTGTCTCAAAAGTTCGTTGACAGGTACCAGCCATGCTTTTTTGTCAATAATTCTGAATCAACAAGAAATTAACAGTCGAAATTTTGTATGGGCATTGGTGACAACCTTCCTCAAGCAGTCTCATTGTTTTCAAGTGCATTCGACCCTTCATGAGCTCACAAAAAGGGTTCACCTCTGACCATGGGTCAGGCACGAAAATGTAGGTTGCAAAGTCGGGTATGTTGTGAAACTCTCTGTTTCAGGAGTAATGGGAATGGTTAAGTCGGAAATGACACATGGCTAAGTGTCGGCGAGGATGAGTGCAACATGATGATCATCTCATAAAAACGATGGCTAAAATTTTTGAAGGACGAAACCATGCGAGACTAACGGCGTTTTGAACGACCCTCGCACGACAGCAGACTCGTGTTCCGGAAAGCAGCTGAAAATGCGGTCATAACTATTGAAAACTGGCAAGAAGCTCACAGACAGAGGTTACCCATTTTCAAAAGTGCAGGTCATCGTAAAATAAAGACAAATTATAATTTAAAATTGTTTATAATATCTATAACGCTAATTTTTGGGGACAATAACACAAAAATCGTCAATGCCAAGGACACCTGACCCTCCAAAAGTGTCAGTTATTGTAAAGTTTTATCTAACGAAGTTTCAAGAGGCAGATCTGCAGCGAATAATTTTCTTTTAACCCTATTAGTGGCAGGCTCCTGGCTACCCCTATTAGTGGCAAGGGGGGGGGCTGTTTACGACCCCCCCCCCTGATATCTCGAGATCTAACGGGCCGATTTTCAAAATTCAAACGGCATTCGATTTCGCTCAACGAGATCTACATTTCTAAAAAAATAAAATTAAAAAATGTCAATAGGGGGGTTTAGGGGGGTAAAAACGGGCAAATTGCAGATACATTTTAGACTGTTTATCACGGCCAGGTTTCTGAACCAATCTTAACGCAACTTTTGCCGATCGATAGAGAATGAACCAGGAATTCACATGGATCCTAAAAATATGCCTTTTCAAAAATCATAGGCGGATACAGATCATTGAGATTGGGGGTACACAAAAAGTATAGTAAATAAGGTTTTTGTTGGTCATGTTTCTAAAAAGGGTGGCAATGGTCTTGTTATGTTACAATTTTCTTATGAGAGAACGACTAAAATTGTATTGGTCATGCATAGGCGGTGTCAGGGCACCTATGTTGGGAGGTAAAAAATAACCCCCCTTTTTGGACGCCTGGATCCGCCTATTATAGCAAAAACGTGTCAAAAGAGGATGCACAATAACTTTGTATATGTTATCACATGATACCTTTCATTCACTGTTCGTAAAACTGGTGCAGCATCGTGATCTTCGCCCAAAGGACTCGCTTCACGAATAGGACCCCCCAATTCCCAGTGCTCTGGAGCCGCCCCTGGTAAAGTTATGAACTTGAAAATTTCAGGGAATGTGCCCAATTTAGTTTTAGGAAAAGTCAGAAATTTTCAGTATCGTAGCTCCAGCGGTTTCGGAGATATTCCCGAAAAACCTGAGGGGTGGATAAAAACAACCCCCCCTGCCACTAATAGGGTTAAACACAAAATCCCGATAAAACGACACGATGGACAGGTTTGGGCCGTTTACAAAGCAGAACCTCTCCCGAGGAAAACACTCCTCAACCGAGCGAAGGTCTTGGCATGGGGAATGACGAGCGCTTGGAATTTGCAAAATTTGCACAATGTGTCTGAGAAACAGACGTCCGACACAATCTGCTACCATATGATGCGAAAAATTTACTCCTGGCACTTCCCGTTTGTTCAGGACTGGGGTCGTTTTGAAAAGGAAAATGGCGCTTGGGATGTCGGCGCCGGTCATTCATGAAGGAGTTAGCGCCAGAGAATGCCTACAAAATACTCACGAATGGTGTCGATGCAAGCTGTCGGCTTTCAGGGAAAATCAGATGTTGCCGGGGAGCTAGTCAAAACTAAATCCGACGCAGAAACTGCAGGGGATTCCCCTGCAAGAGCTTGAAAGCTGGTAACCTTTTATCAGCCTCCGGCAGCTGACGGAGCAACAAAAATCGGTATGGGCAAATATTTTTGGAGATACAGCAAAGGGGTTGGTTTCCAACCTTCTTAATCAGTTGTCAAAGCATGCATATTTGTCTAGTGTACACACAGACACCAAAACCTTATACTTTTGGCCGGTTCTTATATGCTTTATTGGCATGGGAAATGTGTAAACGAACTTTTGAGACACCCTGTACTACTGAGTTGTATCCCCGTGTCGCGTTATATTCTAGGCCCGCTGCAACTCCACAGATAGAGATCATGGTATCAAGCGTAGCAGGAGGGAGCTCCCTAGACGACCGAATTTTACGGCCCATGTGATAGCCCCAACGGCGACATTTATGACCGGCTCGAGGAATGTCTCACTCTTGGCTGACTCGTGAGGTAAATATATTTTTAGGGGGGGGGGGGGCTCGTAAAAAAACGCTTTTATTGAATTAGGTAACAGAAGCCCCGTAATAGCATTGCTTGACACAGTTCTGACAGCTGACTGGTGCTGTTGCGATGCAGACACTGCGCTAACGCTGCTGACATCGCTCCTGTCACCCGATACTGTGTCGGACTGCCGCGCTGATCAGCCTCCCCCTCCCGGCCCCACCTTTGAGGGACACACCTCGCGCCTCTCCCGGGACATATCCGTCACTTACAGTATTGGGCAGTGAGCGGGGCGCTATCCGACCGTGTGTATTGTGCGGCCATTCGTGCCTGCGCTGGAAGTTGAAGCTGGTGGAAAGGTCTTTTTTTCCAGAATCTAGCTTCACATATGACTGTTTTCCAAAGCGATGCTATCATTTCTCTGCCTGTTTGATCGATGGATTACGAAACAAACTATATAATCGGTACAAAGCTATTCAATTTGCTTATAATAGCCGTGCAATGTGTCGCTGTCTATCTGGTTTCATGTAATTTGTTATAATGTCATTTCTTCCGCCAACTCATCACATAATATATGTGCGCATTACTAATACTATGGAAGACATGTGTTTATTTCGACTCTCCGCTGGCATCTCACAACTGGATACCGTCGTTTCTTTCGCAATAATTCGCGCCGGTACTGAAGCTGCCTTCCCAATAAATTATGTAACGCCGGCCGGTACCGCGTCTCCCCAGCACATAGCTCGGTCGGGTCTGGGCTGCCTGTGGTGGGGAGGGGGGCGCCTCTGGGTAGGGTGTACCGTCACCGCTCCCGCGTCGGACACCGTACCCTCACAGTCTCATGTAAACAGTACCGGGTGCCACCAGTGCCGGCCGCCACTGCAGCGCAGCCGCCCGGAATAAGTCACAATAACTGTGTGAGGTTAGGAAGTGTTGCACTGTGGAGACGACACTGCACCTCGGATCGTTTGTGGATGAGCGTTCGTAGTGACAGCTCCCGATTGAGTAAGCGGTCGTGTCTCGCCGACTCTGGGCGGTTTTTCTCGTGGCACGAGGTGTGTTTTCGTGTTTGGCACACGGGGCGAGTGCCGGGGGCGGGGCGCCGCCGGTCCGGCTGTCCGGCCGGCCGCGGCGGCGGGCGGCCCAGCGTCCACTCTCAGACTGACCCGGTGCGGGGCGCTGTGCGGCAGGCGACTCTCCCGACCAGCTGTTCGAGATGCTGCAGCGCGCCAAGGGCGACGTCAGCCGGCTCAGCAGCTTCGAGCTGCTGAGCAAGGACCAGAAGGCGGCTGAGGGCGCCGCGCTCTCGGCGGTGGTGTGCTCAGTGCCGATGCTAGTCAAGGTCAGTACGACGCACCCCTCTTCAGTCGAGGGTGATGGGTATAGGTGGTCACTGAGACTGGTGGGGTTTTAACGTTTTTGTTTTTTTTTGCTTTGTCCTCGTTCTGCGGGTGGCGGTTGTTTGTTGATGAGGAGCGATGCTCTCACCTGTGCCTATATTTTGCATCAACAGCCACCTGAGTATGGATGCTGGATACAAGGGTGAAGTGATCTTAATTTAGCTTGATACGGAAGGCAGTTATGATCTGAAGCTTAAAACCTACATTGGTTTACTTTGAGCTTTCATTGGGTATAGCACAGCACAGTTTGATGCATATACCAGGCCGATCATTTTTTTCGATGCGTACCTACTGACACTCATACGAGTGCAACAAATCCACGCTTGCCAGCTTAATTTTACTTTATCTGACTCCCTTTCCATCTTCAAAGCTGGTTTCCAATCAAATATCCCGAAAATTACGAACAGAGTACCTGCTATATTTTTATTTCGTATCTGTTCCACCTGGACGATATGTCAGTTCTTATAACTGCCATCTCAGCGGCGGCCGGCTATCGTAGTATGTGTGTTTAGTGAGTCATTCATTTCGTTCCGTGCCCTTATCGGCCGGCACTAGGTGCTGAGGCCCACACAGCCTCTCGGGGACCTAACGCGTCCAATGCCCTGCTGGAATGAGATCGTTATTTGGAATATGACCGATGGACGCTCGGCCGATATCTGTCTCAGTGTCTGTGCTTATTATTTTAGATCAGCTGAATACCGAATGTTCAAACGAAGTGCTCCATATCTGTTTTGGGCGGATAAACTGAGTGAAATGTTTTATGTGGAATATTATTGTGTGTCGCAGGTAGGCATGGCTAGGAAAATATATTTTTCTTTCTTTCTATTTCTTTTTTCTATTGCAGTTATTATCTTTTTTACTGCCTACCATACGCCGGGTGTAGCAGTGAACACTTGGGTGACCCCGACCCCGTCACAGCATCTCCCAGCATCGGCAGCCGTCCACGCTGACCCCCTGAACTGAACGCCGCCGTCCTCCCTGCCCGGGGAGGTATTTGTTTACGGGCCGAATTTCGTGTCAGGTCCCCGAGCATTGGGTGGCTTTGACTGCCCCTTCCGCGAGTCACCGCCATCGGGCCCGATGCTGTGGTGCATCTGGCCGGTCGAGACGGTACCCAAGTATATGTACAAGGAGAGGCATCGCGGTCAATCAGTTTTTTTTTTTTTTTTGTCGGAAAACAAGCAATTTGATGATTCAGATTGGTTACTTATTGTTTGCCAGTGCGACGAATAGTTGTCATTTTTTTCCAGAGTAGCGCGCCATGAGTTTCAAATATTATTTTTAATTGGGTTTCGTTGTTCTCGCTAGGACCTAGAAATGTTCTTGCATGAGTCACAAACATGTCTGATCTACATGATCACCGGAAGACAACATACAACGATTGGTGGCGATTTTCCTGCCACAACCCTCGCCACAGCAGTGTATCATCGAGAGTGCAACGTCGTTCGGTCAAATCTTTTTATTCGTTAAACCTGCCGTATTGTGTAAGCTGTCTTTAATGAATGCCCCAAATATCCCAGCGCCGCATCCCCTGCGCAGCAAACAGTGAATGTGTAATGCCGAACGGCCTTGCAGCACCACCCGGGCGTAAGATGGGACGATTGCCAGCTGACTCGCTGATGCTCAGGACTCGGGAGACGTAGAGAATAGCCAGAGTCGGCGTCGTTTTGATAGTTTTCAGTATTGTATTACACCAAATACGACTGAACTACAGGGTGTCCCATAAGTTCGTTCTCACCTTATATTTGCATGTAAAACAGAGTAAATTGCGTTTTAATATATTTATGACTTGTCAATGTGCTCCTCAGTTCATGGGCAAACACATGAATACATGCTGCGGTATGCCAGCCGGCATGTTTGGCAGCATAGCAGGCTCGAAGTTAGCCCAGACTGACTTACCATTCGCCGTGAGCTCCTGGAGGCTGGAACAGCGCTTCGCTTCGACAAGCCACGATTTCAGTATCCCCAACGTATTTTCATGAAATTTGGATCTGATAAGTTGCCTGACATGTGATCTTGCGACAGACGCCTGTCACACTCTCCTGGCACCGCTTTTGAGCTTTCCTTGACCTGCTCACCGATGCAGTGTCTCGCTTGAAGATGGGTCTACGACCTCCCGGATGCCATTTTCTCCTCCAAAAATGTGTTCATATTTGCGGTTTGAGTTAAGCTAGAACGCTGAGATTCCTTCCAGATCTTCTTGGAGAAGCATTCTGCGTCCCAAAACTGTTTTTGGAGTACCAACCGCATCCTGGTCAGCGTCTGGACGCCTATAACCCCACAATACCGTGATCTTGGCCTTTTGCACAGGAAAAAAGCGGGACAAAACGAAGGCCTTCTCTTTCGCCTTTATGGGGCTGTTTTAAGATTTGGACGAGTGTTTCATCTCGAACATGGACTAGGTAGTCCAGACGACCACATTGATGTCATCGGCCCTCCAATTTTTTAGCCTCAGGCATAACGAAACACATGTTTAGCCATTTTAAGACATTTTCGACTGTTTTTAGTCCTCCGGTAAGTCTAAAGCTTAAGTCACCCTGAGTTATGTACCCCGAAAAATATTCTTAGACAGCTGATAATCTATCCTGAAAAGTCAGCTTATCAACTTTCAAACGTTTTAACCTTTTTGATGGCCACTTTGACGCCAGACAGTTTTGGCCACATGGCTCACTCCTGAGGCCTGACTGGAAAGAGGATAAACTTGCAGTGATTGACTCCCGACAAATCATCGGCGTCACTTGTTGACTGCGCGTACAGTTAGCGACAGACATTGGCTACAGACTGGTGGGCTTCAATCACCCTCAATCGTCACGAATGGTCATGTGCTGACTAAATACCGAGACGTACCCGTATCGGAGACCTCTATGTTGCGGCGTTAGCCACCTCTGCAGGAAGTGGACTTTCTAGCAAAAACTATTTTGTCTAGAGAAATTAGTTACTGTGGCGCATATTGTTACCAGCCTTGGCAACCACACAAGTTCAGTTACGAACCAATTTCAGCGTGCCTTTAAGCAGGAGAGCCTCTAAACGTAAAATTTAGGTGAGAACGAACTTATGGGACACCCTGTATATGCCATTCGATATAAACACGGATCCTCTGGTGTCCTTGCACAGTGTTGTGAAAAGGCCGGGCTTGCTCCGTCACTATTTGTTATTGTATGCGAGACCTTGGTCAACTGAGCTCATGCAACACATATCTGTTATCGCGCATAGCTCATTGAAGAAGTTGCTCTGGGTTGTTGCTTGTCGTTAACCAATTGCTATGTAGCAGGCACGGTTACCATTTTCCTCCTTAAAATTATTGGTTTCTACCACATGCAAAATATGCTTACGCTACCATTTCCAGACGCATTAGCTGTCTTTCAGTCGCAGGTTTGTATTTACGTACCGGCGCATTGCCAGCACATCAGCATTCCCTAACGTTCTGACAGGCCCTCCCCTCCATCCCTCGTCCCCCGATGACGTGTCGCTCTGCCCTGTCCGCAGGACTTTGTCCGCGCGCCGGACGCCGTCTCGGCGTGTAACCAGCTCTGCCAGTCGACCGGCCGCGACCTGGTGGTTCTGCTGGGCAGCCAGACGGGGGCCGAGTTCAGCCGCGACCTGGCCGTCTTCTCGGCTAAGGATGAGGCGCGGAACCAGGTCAGACAAGGTCGCCGCGGGGCTACCTCGGGTCAGTGGTTACCTGGGGGTGACGACAATGGCTGCGGTAGCCGGCATAGATGAGGTCACCGCCTGTTGCAGTTATGCTAGACTATATCTAACGCCGTTATATTGTTTCAAGTGATTTGCGAGTTCACCTTGCAGCTGTTATTTAAAGTTTTGTGTAGTGAAGTGTCGTTGGCTTGTCTGTTCGACGGCATGGCGATTTCTATGACTCAGGTACCTGTCACAATCAGGACATGTTGTCAATGTAACTGCCAACTAGAACGTAAGACACTCGGTTTGCCAGTAGTCATTTTCTGCTCTACTTGGCCGCGATTTAGGGTTTTGTTTACGCATTGCGAACACCAGCTCCGGCGCCCCGCCCCGGTGTATTTTGTACGGCTGATTCGTGTTTACAGCTCATGACTGGCTTGCCAGCCCTGCCTGACGCTCTGTTTCTATCTGTCATGGTCAGGTGTGTGCCGCCCTGGAGGGTGCCGTGACGCCCTGTCTGGGCCTCAGTCGAGTCAGCTCTCCTCACCAGCGGCTCACGCTGTTCAGCCAAGCGAACGTGGCCGCCTCGCGGAAGGCGGTGTTGCCGCTACTGCAGGCGTACCTGGCGGCGCTGCCGGCCCCGGCAGGTCGGTAAATCACCCCCCGTGTGCCGCCGCTGTCTGTCCCGGCGGCTGATGTACGAATGGACAGACGGGCGAGAGGACAGGGATCCGGTTGCCGCGGTGGCAAGTGTGTTTGTGGGTGGATAGGGCTAGAGGCTAGGCGCCGGGTTTTCTCGGGTTTTAAGTCCACAGATGCCTTTTTTGCTGTTTTTATGCTTGTGTAGAAGAATGAGCTGAATGAGCTGAAAGAATGAGAATAGAAAAATGTATTGCTGGCAATGGGATCGGGCGCGTAACTAAAGCTTGTATTTCACAAGAGTTTGAGTTACAGTTGAGTTAATTATAGCTTGCACTTTCAGGTGAGCATTGCAGAACTATACTTTGTATTTCAATAGAGTTTGAGTTTGAGTTCAGTTAACAGTAGCTTGCACTCTAAGTTGAGCATCATACCGCGCAGTGACATGACAGCATTGTCGCTGACATTCGGTGTGACTTTGTGGTCCCGTGTGATATAGAAAGGAAGTGCTTTCTCATGCTATCCATTCGACCTGATTTTACTTATTTATTTTGCTCGTTTTTTACCTCTTTCCTCAATACATTGTTATTTTCCGATACCATTGTTTCATCCTTCCATTAATCTAATATGTGCTATCACAGCACGACAATGATCCCTGCGATTGAAACAAATTTACAATGTGCATGAAAAAATATTTTGCCGCAGCCAAAAGCCTCGCGTCACAAGGTTTCATCCTCGTTGTTTCGTTCTGGTTAGGTAATTATCTATCCTAATATTTTCTCGCTTAGGATCACTCTCCCAGGCTCATGTTTCGCTGACATGCACATTTGTACTGCTCATGTTACGGGGAAATGTGATCCATCGCTGGCGCACCTCCTGCGCTGCCCTGTGAGGATGCGTACCAGCGTACCGCTGGTAACTGCAGCGGTCCCTTGAGTGTGAGGTGGGGTTGTCACCCTAAACTCGAGCCAGACGTACAGCGCCTTTACCGGACAATTGCTGCGCAGGATTGATCGAGCGGCTTTGGTCGGCGCTCACTTCTAGTTGCACTTTGCTTAATTACATACCTATTACCTATCGTTGATTGTTTATTTTCATTGCTAAAACTGTCTATTTCACCTCGTAGAATGGTACTGCAATTGGTAACACCTACCTCTAAGCATCTGTCTGCTCAGAAGCGGCCGTCTGTTCAGATCAGCTCCTCCCTATCCTGGCGTCAACTCCGCGCGATACGTGCTATCAGTCCCCCTCCCCGCACACACACACACCGCGCCAAACCGAAGGCCGTCTCGGTACAATGAAAACAAACAGCCTATCGCTGGACTTTGCGCCCCGACTCTGGTTTCCATTTTGGGAGCCTGGGAGCCTGATGGTATCATTCACACATTCGCACTGATATATCGTATCTTTGCAGTTCCGTCTGTAGCTCTCTCTCTCTCTCTCTCTCTCTCTCTCTCTCTCTCTCTCTCTCTCTCTCTCTCTCTCTCTCTCTCTCTCTCTCTCTCTCTCTCCCCTCTCCCTCTCTCTCTCCCTCTCTCTCTCCCCTCTCTCTCCCTCTCCCTCTCCCTCTCCATCTCCCTCTCCCTCTCCTTCGTTCTGTCTCATCTCACTCTTTTACTCTGCCCCCAGGCGGCCCCAGCCATATCCATTTCTCTGTTACCCTCCCGTAACCACCCTCACGTCTCTGCAGGCAGCGACTCGGGCGAGCTGTCGCCCGTGGGCCGTCCGACTCCGCGCAGAGCCTCGCCCCCGCCGTCTGCGCCGCCTCACCCCGCCCGACCAGAGGTGTCGGCTGACCTGAGGCCACCGAATGGCATTGACCTGGCCCTGAGCGCCCAGGTGGCTGCGCTTCTGGAACCGACCAGCACGGTGAGTACGTTACGCGGGCCGACCAGCACGGTAAGGGGACCACTGATCGCTCCTCAGAACAGTACAGCGCGGGATGTGGCAATGCAGGTGAAGGTAAAGTGGAATAATGGGTGATTTGTGTCACTTTGTAGGCATTCTGTTTATAATCTACGACCGCACACAATTAAACACGCCTTTTTTAAGTGCGGGAACTTTCATAGCATCACATAGCATGACTTGATACATATTATTGAGAGGCCCTCCGACCTAAGATTTCCGACCTAATGGTTATTCAAACGCCCATTGCCTGGTATTTCAGCTGATTGTTTCCACTGGAGAGCAACACTTTCATTTTTTCTACAGTGGGTAGTCTGGACATCCTAAAGAGATGAACTGCTCGCGGGTTCCTTCTCCTCTCTTTATGGTCGCGGTTATTAGCAATACCACGGCCGATGCGTTGCTCAACAACTTGCAACACCTTTGGAAGGTCGGCTTGCAGTCAAAATATGCAACGGTTTGAAACTTTATTTACTCTCCAACATTAGGACGGACGCCTAATGAACGTCATAAAGCTTTATCGTTGCGCCACCCCTAAACACAAACATTTATCGTGAAACGGACACCCACGACGATGGCAGTGAGAGACAATTATAATCTCATGGTATAGACTACCAAAGGCCCTGATCTTTTCCCCCACATTAGTCAAAGCAAGTGCGCATTACAACAAATATTTCCATAATCCACATGCATATGAAGGTGATCCTTGCGCACCGTGCCGGTTTCGCGACATACCTACAGTACAGTCAACCAGTGTAAGTTTTGCCTGTATAACCTTTGAACCGTAAATTGAAATTCTATTTACGGGTACTTTTATTTTAGCTAAGATTGGATCGGCGCTCCCCGCTGCCATTTGCACACTGATCGCGTTTGCAGCAGCTATGACTGTCCCGGCATCTGCAACGTATTTACGCAACTATCTAAAACGGATAACTACGGATGCGCTATAAGTAGGCTCCCGCTTTACCTAAGTTTACACATTGATAACTGTAAAGTGCTCGTCATTTTATTGATATCTTCGCGAAAGCTGGTCGACATTTAAAAGGTTCATATGAGACCGACGAGCGCTTGTGCTTCTAAATCCCCGAGGTAGGATTTCAACTTAATCGGAACTATTCAGAGCTGATTAATTTCATCCAGCTATGTTCGCACAGTCGGTGCGTCCGTGACGTTGCCGGTGTGGCTGGCCGTGCTGGACGGCGACATCTCGGAGAGCTGGAACTGCACCACGACGATGACGTAGGTGAGGATGGTGGAGAGGATGCCGAGCAGGGCGGAGCGCCGCAGTCGGAACAGGCCCAGCTCGCCGGCCGAGTCGAGGTCGCGCGCCGCCGACCGGTGCAGCAGCGCCAGCTCGGTGGCCGCCGGCGGCGCGCTCTGCTGCGGCTGCAGCCACTCGAGCCGCAGCAGCAGGTCCCGCCAGCGGCCCAGCCGGCGCAGCAGCAGCTGGCACGTCTCGCACGGCCCGGCCAGCGTCACCGCCGCCATCGGGATGTACCGGTAGAGCACCGAGACGGCCCGCTGGCCCACGGCGCCCACCTGGGTCACCGACAGCGCCACGATGATCTGACTGAGCACGCCGTTCAGCGTGACGGCCGTCAGCTCCGCCGTCATGGCCGCCGTGAGGCCGGAGAAGGCGTCGGCGAGGCGGCGCTGCAGGCTGCCGAGCCGCCGCAGCCGGGCGGCGTCCACCGTCCCACCGTCCCCGAGTGTGGTCTCGGCGGCGGCCGTCACCGAGCCGAGCCCCGTGGCGATCAGGTGACCGGCGAACATGAACTTGACGGCCACCATCTGCACAAACAGCCAGACGTAGATGAACGGCGCGTCATTCAGCAGCCACTCACGGCAGCGAGATGCCGACTCCGAGCACTGCTGCTGGATCTTCCCAATCTCCCAGCCGACATGCAGAGCCGCCAGAACGACTGTGAGCGCCCAGGCGCACTCACCGGTGCGGCCGGGTTTCTGGAGAGGCCCGGCCAGCTCCGGTGTGTCTCGCACGTCTCTGAGCACGTCCGAGATCCTGTTCAGAGCGACCGCGTACCTCCGTCCGCCGCCGGCCAGACACACGGTGATGGTGAGCCAGAAAGTCAGCAGCACCATCCCCACAAAGCCAGTGGCGATGACTGCCCTCAGTAGGGGCTCGCCGGCGCTGCGCAGCTCCAAGAATTCCCGCACGGCGTGGATAATGATGTAGAAGTTGTAGGCGGTCTGCAGCGTGAAGAGGGCAGCGCCGAACAGCGCGTAGGTCCATCCTGGGCCGGACGACAGGCCGGTTACGCGCAGCATGACGAGAAACGACCGCGAGGCAGCCGTGAGCGCGCTGTCTCGCTGGGACGGACCGGAGGCTGGCGCGGCGGGCCGGGAGGAGCTATCCGGTCGGACGGCGTTTGAGCGGCGTTGGAACATGGCTGGCCGTGTGAACGCTACTGGCGGAATGATTTAGAATGGTATTTAACCTGTAAGGGAACAGATTCAGCTGTTGTTGACGTTCTGATGAACTCGTCTTGCACCGTGCCCTCTAGTTCTTCGTGTCCTCTCCAGCTAAGTCCTACCTCGATGATGTGCCATGCGCGAATGCCGCCGCACTCAGTCGCCAAGTGGTAAAAGCCTGGAAGGCGGTGGCCCCATAACGACAAATTGCGGCCAAACACCAACCGCGATGTGTGTCACATCCGTGTAGACGGTCACACAATATGGGAGACCGCCAGTCAGGTCACAAACGGTGCGAAAGTGCGAGCAGGGTCGATCATGTTTGCTGAGGTTCGACGTTCCGGGCGAAGTTTGCAGTCACCTACTGTACCTTTTTCATTTTGTGTGGGTGTAGGATGCATGGCTGAGCAGGGCCGTTATTGGCGGCTGTCGCTGTCATTTGTGTGGAGTATGCGTTAGTGCACCTTTTCAGCGTCGATGTTGTTGGTTCTGGAGTTGCTGTGGTGTTTTTAGTCAGGCCTCAGTCGATATCGACTTCGGAAGTCAATGTGACAGGTTCTATGGAGTCGGCGGCATTGGCTGACATTGAGGTGTTGCCAACCTTGGCCTAGTCGCTCATGTGCTTTATTCATAAACGAATCCGCTTCTTCTTTGTAGCGGAGCCTTTCGGATTGGAAATTCTGTGGAATAGAGGAATGTTATTAAATTGTTATAACGAAAACTCTGGTTTCCATTTACCGAATGAAATATAATTTGTTAGTATTTGGTGTGTAGGCGTATGGAACTATACAAGTCTCCGTCTCCCTGATGGTAGACACTGACTGAATGTGTTGGACATCGCGTGTCTCTCTGTTTTGGTTTGCACTCGTCATATGCCATACTATCCTAGCCAAGGATGTAATATAAATACTCTTAACCATTCTCAGTTTCGCCGAAAAGAGTACATATCACGTCGTTAGCTGTAGCCGCCTGTACCTCGGATAATCCAAAAAGAAGAAGAAACAAAACGGTCTAACCCATCTTGTCGTGAAGTAATCGTGCGTGTGTGTGAGAGATTGATCGAATCTTTCCAAAAATGTTCATGATACCTTCTTTTGGCCTTAGTAACCTCGTATCTGACTCTGATCCGGCGCTGTCAGCTGTGTCACCTTACCTGACATGTATGTGAGACTCTTACTTGACTAGCGTCATTCAGACATTATCTGACTTGCGCCTAACCTTCACGGAGCTGGATGAGCCAACCACCCGATTTTTATCAATCTGGCCAGTTTGACCTCATGTGACTGAGTTTGAATAGAACCTGCGGCAGTATCAAATTCGCATGTGGTCTATGTACCCCCCCCCCCCCTCCCCGGCCCTATACAGAAGCCTGCCCAGCGCCGGATCCCTATCTGTCCTATATCGGACCCCATCTGCCCTGTATCAGGCCCCGCCTGCCTATATCAGACCCAGCCTGCCCTATATCAGACCCCACCTATCCTATATCAGACCCCACCTGCACTGTATCAGACCCCACCTGTCCTATATCAGACCCCGCCTAGTGTCCTATATCAGACCCCGCCTAGTGTCCTATATCAGACTCAGCCCGTCCTGTATCAGACCCCGCCTAGTGTCCTATATCAGACCCCGCCTAGTGTCCTATATCAGACCCCGCCTAGTGTCCTATATCAGACCCCGCCTAGTGTCCTATATCAGACCCCGCCTAGTGTCCTATATCAGACCCCGCCTAGTGTCCTATATCAGACTCAGCCCGCCCTGTATCAGACCCCGCCTAGTGTCCTATATCAGACCCCACCTGCCCCGCACCCGACTCCCTGCTGACCGGCTGCCCCTCGCTCCGCCCGGCAGGCGGGCAGCTCCCAGAGCTCAGCGCACAGCTCGGTCCCGTACACACCACAGAACAGCGTGGCGGACTCGGACGCCATCGCCGACGTCACGCTGCCGTCCTTCAACTCGCGCGAGCTGCTGCAGCGCATCGAGCTGCGACGCGGACCGCTCGGCGGCTTCGAGGGCGCCGACGACATCGGCGCCTACCCGTTCACACCCAAAAACAGCTTCGTCGAAGAAGGGAGCACCCTGGAGGCGACGTATCGGCACATGAACATGGCCGAGCTCGACTCGGACGCCATACTGCAGCGGGTGCACGAGAAGAAACGTAACAACGAGCTGTTTGACGACATTGAGGAGGAGGAGGCGGACGTGACGGGACCGGCGGCGGGCGCCACCGGCGGCACGCTGGTCGACAGGTGAGCTAGTGACGCGCCGCGGGCTCAGCTGCATGCCGCCGCCGCCTCCGAGCCGCTCGCTCCCTGTGTGTGTACACTGTACGTGTGAGTCGGTGTGGGTGGGCCGCGCCGGGCCCAGAAAGCTGCAGTGTGTCGGCCAGTACGAGCGTCCACAGGCCAGCGAGGCGCGAGGTGCCGACAGATGCAATACCAGGGGTGCCAGGAGATCGTCCGGTTTGGGCTGGAGGCGGGGTCGGATCACGGGGGTCACTTGGAAGGGGGCTCGGCTGGAGTCGTTATATTGGCCAAGTCCAGTTCTCACTCTGGGTACCGTAAGGGCCTGCGCCCGCTGGTAATGAGGTTTGCGCAGGGCCCCCGGGCGGGCCTGGGCGCGCCGTTATGAACTGCCACCTGACCTGTCTCTTGGACAGGCGAGGGGGACAGTGACAGTGACCCCAGTGGGCGGGCTCTGGGGGTCCGAGACAGTCAGCCGGGACCGGTGGCGCCCTCTCACCTTAGCCAGGCTTTCAGATGGCGCTGCGATAGCGGCTGCGCCTTTTGGGGATGCCTCCCAGTGGAGCGCGAGGCGCGGGAACTGGGCGTCCTCCCTGTTACCAATAGTCACATGCCTGCTGGACAGTTAAGCGTACCGACGGCGCATTGTTTTTACTGTTTGCTGGGGTACGGGCGTCGCTAGGTGAACCAGACCGATCATTTACATGTTCTACTTTGTTCAGTCATGGAAACAATGCGCTTTGTTTCGAATTTTGGATTGCCTAGCTATTTGCATGCATAAACGCTTTTAGTCAATGATAAGTGATACATTTTAAGTTGTGCTTTATATGTGTATCTGTTTTCGACGTACACCGTATGGCCAGAACTGTCGCCACATTTATTTTCCGCATGTTAGCACGGCATTCACTGCGCACCGATGGTGCATCGGCTGGTCAGTTGGATTGTTTACCCCGGCCAACTCCTCATGATCCGTGATGGCGAATATATACTGAGTGATGACGCTTGTTTTATTTTTCTTTTGCTCGAAGACGCTTATGCTTGCTGTAGAGCTCTGCACGATCCACATGCCAGACATGTACCGACTCCCCTGTGGTATCCGTATCGATGGATAACGCTGCCGTCTGCATCTCTAGTCATCCTGCTAGTTGGCGCTCAGTAATGGGTTCTGAATCAGAGCCGCTCAATGCCAGCGACGGCCGATGCTGTAGGCCAGACTGAATCGCCCTCTCAGGACTGGTCGGTACTTTCTTTTGAAACGCCATTGCCTACGCGACATGGAGGGGACATTACGTCACTTTGTGAATTACACCTGCTGGACACGTTTCACCTTCCATACTTATTGCTGTTCGTCAGGGGCTCCGCCACAGGGGGGGTCGGGGGGGTCCGGACCGGACCCCCCCAATAATTTTGGTGTGGGGTACAGACCCCCCCAATAATTCATGTACATATCTCAACTTTTGCTTTTATTCTCTTTAAAGAAAGAACTTAAAAAAAGTTTAACCGCGGAATATTTTTTTGGTCTGTTTTCAGTATTTCGTTCTAACAAATAATTAAATTCAAAGTTTTCAAGAGTTCATCACCAGCCCGAAGGCCTCACTGAGTATCTGAGAGTGCAGTTTCTTCAGGTCCTAGACAGTGCACTGAGCCATCTCAAGGATAGGTTTGACCAGGATGGGCTAAAAGAAGTGGCCATCGTTGAGGGAGTTCTGCTGGGCCAGCATGACCAAACATCGGTGTCTGAGGCGAAGGAGCGGATGCACTCGTGGCCACCAGAACTGAAGGTGGACGAGCTACTCTCGCAGCTCCGCGTGTTTTCCAAGAAGCATCCATTTTCGACACTCAGAGAAGCGTGTGAGGGTTTCTCAGGGCTCAGTGAAGATGCCCGAGAGCTCCTGCCTCAAGTGAGGCTTCTGCTGACCTGGCTCCTGACAATGCCCGCGAGTACGGCGACGGCGGAGCGCAGTTTTAGTGCGCTCCGCCGTCTCAAAACATGGCTGCGTTCAACGATGAGCCAAAAACGACTCAACGCTGTGGCCATCTGTCATATTCACAAGGACACAACCGAGTGCATCGACGTCCGCGAGCTTGCCCGGCAGTTTGCTTAAAAAAAAAACGGCAAACGTCAGCACACTTTTGGATCATTTGAGCTCCAGAGTGCTCCCAGCTCCTGAGCTCGCCTCCCAAGTGGATTTAAGCGCTATGAAAAGCGACGTTAAACAATGTGAACGTTCCTCGCAATACAACTGCTATGCTCTGTAGATTTTCGTTTTTGTATTGGTGTTCCATTTCTATTATCAACCACTTTTATTTTATCATTGCTGAGTACCTCCATTACAATTTTGAAATGTATCAGTCCTAGCAGAAGAACAGCTATTACAAACACGGGAGAAATAGGTGCACTGACAGTAATATGAGTTGCTGATATATTTATTCAACATTACACTAGGTACTTAAGTAAAGTTTTGCATGTTGATCCAGTCCATATAAGGTTATGCACTGTCCTGTCGGACCATAATAGGCGCGGGAACCGGGGGGAGGGGGCAGTGGGGGCAGCTCCCCCCAACTCTGGGGCCGTGGGGGCGGTGCCTCCACAGCTTTGAGACGGAATACTGCACTTTTTTGCAAATGTTTTTTTTTTGTTGTTGTTGAATAAGCCAAGGGATGAAAAGTAAATGGCCTAAAACCGGTGAGAAAACGGGATTTGGGGGTACCCTAGGTTGATCTCTATTATGGTGTGCCCCCCGCAGTCTGAAGGTAGTTCCCGCGCCACTGTGTCGGACCCCCCCAATCATAAAAACGTGGCGGAGCCCCTGTGTTCGTTGCCACGCATGTAGCCCATTGCCCACGCAATTAATTTGCACCCGTTTCAGGTATGACTATTTTTATAAGCACCCGAAAACGTTTGAGCAATGAAGACTTACATATGAAAGATGCATATAGGTACGCGCTATGGTCCTGCCGGTGACACTTTACTCTTTAGTGTTTAGCAGTTCTGTTAATGTGCACAACTGCGTACCGGCTGCTGTTAGTGCAGCTGCACTGTCCTCAGCGTCATCACATCACGATTGTTTGTGTGACCCGGTATGAACATACTGGCATTGCTCGCAGCCGCCCCGTGGCACTGAGCGCTCGTGCAACACTCTGCGCAGCAGTGGGTGCTAGGCAGAAAGGCACCTCCGGTGTCCTCAGGAAGGATGGAAAATTCCGGTCGGTCGTCTCTGGGGTGCAGCCCGCCGCGACGCCACAGCGTTAGATTCCATTAACTTTCGTGCTAACTTTTTGATCCCGACTCTGGGTGGTGCAATCGGTTCGCCTGAGCCCTGAACTCTGCTGTTCGTCCCATCACCATCAGCGCTCAGACTGAGCTGGGAAAAAGATGGTAGTCGAGAAGCGATGGGGCTGCTTCCGTGCAAGGATGTTCGACTTCGGACATCATATCTAACCGCCGCGTTGACAGAAAACATACTGGGCTAATAATGTGTAGTACACATAGTGTAGTACGCATGTGGAGACTTCAACGCCAGAAACTGATTTTCATCGAAACTTTGACATGATGCGGCAGGATGGGTTTTTATTTCTAGGATCTTTTTCTTATACAGCTGGCCTTCTACCGTGCAGGAGCAAAAGAAAACCATAGGAGCACCATGATTTGAAATAAAAAGTTTAATTACGACACACCCTAATGTGTACCTCGTTCTCGGCGACTAGCCTCCTGCTGCCCTGCCTTGCTTAGAGGGTCGCTATTGTGTCATAGCATCCCGGTAGCAATTAACCACCCTTCTGCCATATACCGGCCGCCCTGGGCTATTTACCACCCCTCCCGCTATTTACCGACTGCAGGCCATTGCTGCCGGCCGGCGCGGCGGGCGGGTATTCCGAATTTCCCGTGCTGCGCGCCCGGTCGGTCGGTCGGACCGGTAGACTCTGCCGGAACCGGTGGAGCCAGTGGTGGCGGCTCTGATTGGTCCGCTCGCCGCCGGTGGAGCGCCCCTCCCTCCCGACCCCACTCACGCTCGCATTGCGCTCGCAGCGGCGGCCAGTCGAGTTCGAGTTGGGTGTTAGGGTGTGTGCGGCGCCCCGCTGCGGCGGTGACCGGGAGGTGGAAGCGGTGTTTTTATCAGTGATCGTCAGTGTAGTGTCCACCTGAGGCGGAAGGTCCTCCACAACCCTTTCAGCGAACGGTGGGAGGCATCTTACTGGAGGGGATCTCTTACACTCGCTCTTGCTCAGGTAAGAATCATCCGCTCAGGTGATAGCTGTGCCGGTGCCTGTATGCAGTGAAGGCCAGCCTGTGAGGGCGACTGGGGTGGCCGGTGACGTCATTAACCAGTTACTGGTCCAACTGGCCAGCAGCGCTACTGGCGGATCAACCTGCGGTGGCCAGTCAGGGCACGCACTCAGTGCACTGCGTGGCGTACCCGGTGACCTTGACCTCACCTGACCAGCGACCGCCGACCGTGTCCCTGCAATCCCCCCACACTAACGCATTGCGTAACTTCATCCGTAATACATGCTCAGAATAGCGGGCCTGAGCCCTGAGCCCTGAAATGCTCAGCATTTCGGTCGGCGTCAGGCACATCGATAACGGCCGCCCGACCCGCGTATTTACAAATTGCAACCGAGCTCCGCCGTAGGGTATTTTATTTACGCCGTAGTGTATTTCACTTGGGGTATTTTCCACCATACATCTGCCCGAGCGTGGGGTAATTACAATTTGTCGGCGACGTTAAAAAATGATGCAACTTTTTTCGCAGTATAGGTTATCGCATGTGCATATTTTTGCATTTTGGCTGCGATTTTCCCTCGCCCGTATAGGGGGAGGGGTTGAACGGACCCCATCGGTTTTTCGTGAGTAACTCGCGTAAAAACCGTCCGATCGCGACGAAACTTTCAATACCCCCGAGATAACCAATTTTACACCTATCCTTAAAATTTCATGACCCTGACCCAAATGACCTTTGACCTGTGACCTATTTCTCTGAGATCATGTTTGGCCCGAATCGCGA